AGGTCAGACCACGATGCGGCTGGCTCGTCACGTCGACTTGCCAGCACATGCCAAAGGGGTCAGGACGTCAGACCATGATGTGACTAGCTCGTCACGTCGACTTGCCAGCGCATGCCAAAGGTCTATTCAATCACTCACTTCGACTTGCCATCGCCACGAAGTCCATGTTTCACAGTAATGCCCGCGCGACACTCCGTCGCACGCTGCTGAAACTTTTCTAAGCTCTTGGCTACGCCGACCGGCGGCCCCCTTTCCAGCAATTCTCGGGGCGGCGGTCGCACCAACAGCAGGTCCGACAAAGAAGTCACTCTGGAAAGCATCACATACAGATGCAACCACCATTCATCATCGTCCTTTTCTTTCTGACGACCACAATCCACAACTGTTCCAGATCGAAGAGTCAAGCCCTGCGAAGCCGTGCTGGTCAGACAATGTGCGTTCGTGGCGCGAAAACCACATCTGCGGATTTGCAGCCCACTGTAGCTCACAACCACTTCTTCTGCTTCAAAAAAGTAGAAAGAACGAGCCAACTTCTCCGCCTCCTCGGAGCTATTCGTATGCTTCGCACAGAGCGGCGTAAAGCTTTCCCATCCACTGCATCCTTGATATCCTTTGATGCTCACCAACAATCCAGATGGTACATATCTTGGCGTAAACATTTCTCCTGCCGGAGTCTTCAAATATCTTGCTCGATCGGCATCATGAAACCCAAAATCCATAATGGTTGCCACCGTATCTTGCACCAGCCCTTGGTCGGCATCCACACGCGCCAACAAGCGAATTTCCATGCCAACAAAGCGAGGCAAAATGCCATGAATCAAACCAGTGTTGTACGGGTTCGGCTGATTCAAAAACCGAATGCCAGTCTCATGGTTCATGCCCATACAAGTATCAGCAGCTTGCAAAAAGACCAGTGTCTGATTGCATCGGCTCGCCTGCAGGATGGTGCGACGATACATCATGCGAATCAAAGATGCCCAGTAAATCGACATACAGTACCCCGACCGAAAGTTCTCCGAATCCAAGCGAGCATCAGCAATGCCGGGAGCTTCATCTCGTATCACGCGGTCCTGGAACTGAGCCCAGAGCCTATCCGGCAGTGTGTGGCCAAGCCGCATGCATTGCAAGATCTCGATAAGCGGATCTTGCGGCTTGAAGCGCATGGTGCCACGTAGCTCATAAACATCCGGGATTTCAGAGAAAAGCTTTTGCGCATGCTGGATCTCGACGCCAGGGACCTCTTTGCGGACGTACTGGCCGTCTTCATCTCGCCGGTTCAGATCTTCAATCAAGGATATCTGACCAGTCGGACGTAATTGGAAAAAGTCTCCCAGGTGAATGACGATGGGAACCCGCCCGAAAGCACAGCCGACTTTCATGTAAGTGTCTCGGTCCACCTTGAAAGGAAGCCGGCGACCACACATGGCACGAAAATCAAGCATATTGTAAAGCAAAGCCGACACCATGCTGATCTCTTCGATGATCAAGACACGAACATTCTTCCAAGTTTTCTCCAAAGCCTTTTCCTTCTTGCCTGGAGCCATATCCTGATTCTTCAAACTTTGGATCCGCATGCAACCTGCTCTATGCAATGTCTTGGCTCGCACACCTTCTGTAGACATGTTTTTGGCTTGCGAGTTTTTGGCCGCAACAACCATCAGAGACTCTTCCTCTTTGCTTGGCGGCCAGATGAAATGCACAACCGGAAAAATCAAATTTTGCACAACATGAGTTTTGCCTGATCCGCCCTGTCCCAGTAACAACATGTGATACACAGATCTCCGTTCAGGTGGCAACTCTTGTTCTTCTTTCCAGACAGTGTCCAACACATCTCCGAACCGTAATGCAAAGAGCATCTGATCCTCGTTCAATCTGCCCGTGGTGGGTAGATTTGCGACCATGTCTGACAGCATGGCAGAGGGTGTCGTGTACACGTTCTGATCCGTGAAACGTGCACAATCCCGTGGGAGCAAAGGCAGTAAGGTGCGGAGAGCACGCAAACGAACCACCTCGTCCGGCTCATCCGTCTGGGCTTCGACATCTTCCTCCTCTTCCCCTGGTTTTGTCTCTCGGACACTCCAATAGAGATCTTGCCGGGCATCCTGGCCAATTCTACGTTTGCAATAAATCAACTACACTCAAAAACCAAAAACCCACAACAAATCAAATATAACTTTAAAATTATGAAGTTCCTTCAACCTTCAAATGGTCCCATCGCAACCGAAGTATGTGCCACAGAGACTACATATCAAACAATACACCCTTCAACATCTCCCAGATATGCTGTTTCCGTCCTGATTCAAGCCAGAGAGGTCAGCCAGAAGTTGTTCGTGTCTCTGCGGTTCACTGTTCCGACAGCGTGATGCTGCCTCAAATACATCGTCTCTCATCCAGGTCTCCTGCAGAAATGTTTTCACATAGTCATTCTTGCGACCTTGCAGATCAAAGCGCAAAAGCTGTTTCTGCTCTTCTGCAGTGAGGCGCAAACCAATCGGCGGGAAGACTTCCTTTTTTCACCACACTTGTCTCTTCCACCAAAGCCTCTAGATTTTCATCGTTGTCGCCATCCGCGCCAACATCATCAGCTTCTCCAAGCGTGTGCATCTTCACATACTCCTCATGCAAATGAGCATCTTCGTCTCTTCTACGTTTCGGTTTGTGTTGTCTGGCACGTGCAAGTCCTTCAAGATTTGCAATCCGCTGTTGTGCCAGAAGCGACGAATACATAGAAACAGTGCACCGCGGCTTCCCGAGATCAAAATCCTGTCCTGTAGGTGGCAAT